ATTTCCACTGAAACAGGAAGACAGGGCAGGATATATCGAACAGCTCCTCCCCTTTAAAAAAAAAAAAGCCAATAGCGTTTAGTTTACAGCTCGGCCACAGCTGTTGAATGCGGTAAAGCTGCAGTTTCCTCCTAATCTCTAATCCCCTTGATATCACTTTAAAATATAGCATTCTGTGCAGAATTCAAATGAGTTCATTGCATTTTGTGGTCTGTGCCGACTCGACTCGCGCATTATCCGCTCTGTGCTATTGAGTCTCTGGACTGGAGAATGTGGTTCCTGTGACACTAACATGAAACCAGACTTCATTCACCCCAAATGTAAAGCATTTACACTGTCTGAATTGTTCCCTATCCCCATATAAGAATGACATATAAGTAGCACAACTGTTTTCAACACTGATCATAAGAAATGTTTCTTGAGCACCAAATCCGCATTTTAGAATGATTTCTGAAGGATCATGTGACACTGAAGAGTGGAGTAATGAAAAATTCAGCTTTGCCATCACAGGAATAAATTAAATTTTAAATATTTTAAAGTAGAAAATTTATTTTAAACATTTCACAATATTACAGTTTTTACATATTAAAGTAAATGCAGCCTTGTGAGCATAAAAGTCTTGTTTCAAAAACATTTGAAAAATGTACTAACCCCAAAAAATCTTACTCTTCTGTCAAAATATGCCAACGATATTTTAAAACAAAGTTTTTAAACATTAAGTTTTTGATGTTTTTAACAGTGTATTCTCACAGAAGTGCAAATTCAAATCCATGTGTCCCAACTCTTTTTTATGTACTGATATACTGTCAAGAACACAGACTAAGTCAGGGGACGTGAGTGACACACCCTTAGATCAAATTGTATAATTCAGTTCTTTCAGCTGAAACACTCATGCCAATCTGGATCCAGTCCTATCCAACATTAACAAAAAAAGGCAATAATCAAGAAACAAGCTCATATTCAGTTCATTCTTTCACTTAAAAAAAACCCAGAGAGAGAAACCTTCTCTACAACAGACTCTGACACTCCTGTAATATTTATCACAGACAAGAAAGTGTGATCCCACTACACCTGATTGACATCCAGACTCTCGCAGTGATTTCTTTAGTGTGATTTTGGGTTGTGCTGATGTTTCATATTACGCTGTTGGAGTCTCTGTTGGACATTTAATCTCCAAGCTCTCCTCCATCAGATGCTTTAAGACAGACAACACTGCCTGTATATGGCCTTGTGTGTTTCTCTGATGTAAGATGATCGATCACTCATGTCTTTGGTCATACTGTTTAATATGGATAAGCATCATACAGCATAGTTGCGTTATAAGCTGGTAAAAACGTGAATTTCTATGGATTTTCCATGGAAACTAAGCTGCAAACATGCCACAGTTATGATGGCATTAGATTCGCATATGACCACCCGTTTCAACATGTAAATTAAGCATTGTCACCTAGCAGATGTTAAAATATAAGGAATACATGCTTTCCCAACAGAGAGCAAAAGTTTGGGGTCGATAGATTTTTCAATCTATTCAAAAGACTTTTATGCTTACCAAGGCTAAACTTATTGCAGCCGCGGTCAAAAATATAGTAAAAACGTTATATTGTGCCATATTCTTACAATTTAATATTTTCTATTTTAATAGATTTTATAATGTTATTAATTCATTTTATGGCAAAGCTTTTATCAGCTGCCTTTGTAATTTGCTTATGTTGCTCTGTGCATACTCAGAAACTTTGGTCGCAAAACACAAAATTGCTGAGATATCATATTATGAAGACTTATCATATTCTGAATCTGCATGTATTTTGGACAGAAAACAGAAACAGTAGATATCTTATTCATGGATGAGTGTAAAAGTCAATCATCAGCAGTTTTCATTGGGCAGAATATAGAATTTGAGGCTGACAGGCGAGATTCAAATGAATGTGCATTTTAACACAAAATCCACTATTCATGAGGATTTATCATAGCACAACTCATATTTTCAAGTATCCTGAGAGCATACATTAGCCACAATGATCTGTTTGTTTGATTCCATATGTTATGGACACAGAGGCAATTCATCTCAGAATTCAACAAATCTACTGATGTAATCACCCAGAATCTCTATCTCCACAAAATCTTTCTGGCATCAGCACTTGGAAAAAGCAGCCAACATTATTAAAATGAAGTATCCATCATTTTAGATTAAACTGGCCTGATTTCATGAAAGTCAATAACAGGACTTTGAATTCTAAAGTAATACATTATTAGAGGTACATTGTGTTGCCATATGGCCATTTGAGGCATCACACCACATTAGCAGTCTGTGCATGTGCATTATATTTATAAATCTCACGCATGGCAAAGAAATTCATCTTGACTTTATTAATTGACATATTAAAAGACCAAATAAGCATGGACCCATAGCAAATCATAAACCAGATTCCTTCAGGCATAAACTGATGAAAAGTTAGAGGTGATACTCAAAGATAGGATTTTGAGACTATAAATATTACGTTTTGAATTCAAGATGTTTTTCTCATCGAAAATTATGTTAAAATAACCGATTCCTAGTTGAATATGGTACCATAGTGATGTTTCAAATGCAGAACATGAGTGAAATTTTGGTGGAGAAGGATAAAAGGCAGTAAAGTGACATTTCCTTATGAGAGTGAGTTACAGAAACTAACAAATCTGAATACAAACTTAAATTTAGACCCGACTTCCTGCTTGTCAGCCTTAAGGGAAAAAATAAATCTCCAGAGCCCCGTCTTTATGATTATCTCTGTATGGCTCTGAGTCTCTTTAATTCTTAAATGCGAACAGAAGATGCATTTGAATGAGGGGAAGACAGGATCACAAATCACTGCATTACTGCAGTAAACACTCAGACATAAAAGAGGATATCAACAAAGTGCTAAGCAAGACACCACATACACAGACATATAAGCACTAGCACCTTTTCATCCCAAGCAAATAGGAGACCAATGTAGCTTAATTTTGACACATATTCCCGATTTCCTCTGCTAATAGCTGGTCTATTCACATAATTAACATATTATGCTTATAAGTGGAGCTCAATCGTAGAGCACTTGGAGAACTTTATAAATAAAGTGGTTTACATATTATAGCTGGAATTACATCACATACTTTTAATAACTGAGAAACCACGGGTCCTCAAATGCACGTTTAGCCCCATCCTTTAAAAACTCCTAACCATTTTGCCTACGCTTTATGGGACTAAATCACTTTTTCCCCATATTTTTTGGTCACATAAAAACATCCTCATTTGGTTTCCAAATAACAAGTTTCCCAAAGGACAATCCATATCTCCATTACAGACATTCATGATCGGTGGGTGAGATGAATCAACACAAACAGTTTAGGCTGCTACCTTTGACTTAATTCAATGCACATGTTATTCATGCCGGTATGTGCAAAACGATAAACTGCTTTCCTGCCAAACATATTATCAGTACATTATCATGCCTCCACTTTCCCTGATTATCAAAGTCATGCAATGCAGAAAGGCAAACTGTTGAGAGCTCCAAGTGTTTCTATCCAGTGAGAGCTGCTTATTTTGACCAATGGCCAACTGGCATCCTGCAAGATAACTAATACCTCTCCTTATCTAACTAATTGTGCAATGTTGTCTTTTAGTTGAAGTATTCTGTCACAATGATCTGAGCTGACCCTTCCAGCCTGAGATTTAACTCTTTACTCTGTTCAGGGAATCCACTGAGAGGGTAAGCTTTGCCAGCACTGTTTTAGGACATCTTGTCTTGGTCAAAAATAGCAAAACAAAAATAGCAGTATACTGACCATGCCTAAACAATGAAGGCTATGCAAGACAAACCAGACTAATCTTGGCAGCCAAACAGTAACTAAACAATGAGAAATGATAACGGATTGAGTTATTCTTATGCAATTCAAAAGGTTACATCTATCAATGTTATGCAAACAACAGTTTTACATTTGGCAAAAGAACGATCTGTCATTTCTTTAAACCTCTGGAACAAAACTTAAACCTCTAAATGAGTGATGAATCTCATAAAACCAGGTCATATTTCACTCCACAATCAAATCAAATGAATTATTTTACCTAAAGAAAATAAATCCCATTATTAAGATTGTTTGCATTCTGACATTCATTTCATGACATTTCAGTAATGTTTCCAGATGTTTTACTGTTGAGTTTATTTCAATCTGTTCTAACCTCGCCATCTGAACTTATAAAATATCTGAAGTCAGTGATTTCGTCACAAGATATTTAGTAGGCACTGGGAACGTATTGAGTTACGTTGGTGCCTCATTCAAAGTCCCAATTAAATATTTACGTTCAGAACAAGTCAAGATGAATTATGCAGACAAAACCAATAAACACCTTTTGGTTCAAAGTCACAAGCCATTTTCCAGTCAATGGTGTGTTTATAGCTAGCAATGTTTTTTTCACTAATTAAAGCTTGGAGCGTGCTAAACGACACAAGGGTGTTAGTTGGTGTGTGAGCGAATATGATGACTGAGCGAGGAGGATGTTCCCAGCGGGTGCGGTGTTTTACTTTGCGATCCAGACGGCCCCCCTGAGTTGAATATTTATGCTCCAGCTCACAATTCCTAGGACTAGTGAGAGGCCTTACCATTTACATGTCGAAATCAAACACGACAGCAAACAGTTTTCCTAAGCGCTGTGTGATACCAGAAATACTTTAATTGGTAACCTGCCATGTAATCTGTGAAAACAAGTCACCGTAGACATCTCGAGAGAGGCCTGTTTGTTTTGTCTTGTCATACCGCGGGGTGCAAGGCCTGGTGTATTCCCCGGCAAAGTGTTAGCGTCATCTTTACACAGCTGTGCTTGTCTATGGCAAGTTGCCAAGCACTCAGAATGAGAGTTTATGGTACCAGGTGAATGTCAATTATAAATCACATTAGCATTAATTATGCACTAAAACTCTTCAGCATAACAGTTCAGCACTTGAAACACAGGATAAATGACAAGCAGTTGCTTGTTAACTCACCTTCTTCCATCCCAGAATGAGTTCTGAGAGTGTTGTCTGCCTCTTCCTCCTCCTCTCTGTAGTTAAACAGTTTGTTTGAAGGTGGACTGGTTGGACTGAACTTAACTGGAGGGAACAACTGCCACTGATGTTTCCTCTCAAGCTCTGTGTTGTGCTCTCCCAAGGTTTGCACATGTTCTGCTCTAGGGTTTTGGTGCTCAAGGGGTTTCGTGTGTTCACCATGATGTTGTTTGTGATCTACAGAAGGTTCTCTGTGGTCGATTGAAATCCTTTCATGTTCTTCTTTAAGTTCTGCTTCAGATTTTCCATGTTCTGAAAGAGTTTCGGAAGAGGTGGTCGCACTTTGCTTAACGGGACCTGGACTGCTCAGGATATGTTCATTCTGATTACCAACAGCTGATTGAATGCCATCAAAGCTAGCAGTTTCATTCAATACAGCTGCTTTTTCCTTACTAGACTCTCTTGTGATAGTTTCATCATGTTTGGAGCCATCTGTTTCCACGTAATTGGGGAGAAGTGAATCAATTTGACTATCTGATACTCCTTCCCAAGCCTTCTGCATTGAAGTTGCGGTTTCCCAAAGCGGAGATGTAGTTTGCTCAATAGTCAACGGAGAGTCAGTCACCATCTCGCTGTATGTGGTGTCCTCCTGTGAGGTATATGTATCCCCAACAGTAGGAAATTCGAAATGTTCATCATCTGTTAAGCCCTCTTGTTGGGTGTTGTCTTTATAAAGACTAAAGCTCTGGATCTCTGTGGTATCTTTGTGAGTGGAGAATCCCACTCTGTTTGTCGTTTCCACAGGGAGGATGAATTGTTCCCGGTCTGTTTTATATTTCAGAGGGCTGAATAGTTCATTTTTTGGTTTGTCATCATGAAAACTGCCTCTCATTCTATCAGTACTGTCCTTGTAGAAAGGAAACTGCGGCCTATCTGTTGTCGACTTATGAATACCAAACCTCTCTCTCAGCTCTTGCTTGGCTCCCCTTTGCACACCCTGGCGGGGGGTAAAATTACCTGAACGAGATACCGAGATGATGGATGACTCCGTAGTACCTTCAAAATCACGCAGCGATGAGGCTAAGGAATCAGTAGGTGGATAATCATAGTCTTCTTCATCCTCTTCTTTCTCGTCTGCGTGTCTCATACGCAGCTTAAAAGGACGATTGCTATCACCTCTAGATCCTTGGTGGTTAAAAATGTGTTGTAAAGGGTCTCTGTAGTCTCTCTCTGGTGTGCTTTCCTCAGGTGTTGTGGTTAGCATGGGATTTGAAGCACGCCTCGGGTCACAGTTTGGAATCGGATAGCACATTAGGTTCCCACCTTCTTTCGGGCAGTGGCATACTTGGCAAGGGTCAATCTGGAATGTGTGTCCAGCTTCATACTTCTGCTCCGAGTGAATGCATCCAACTCGTTCGCACTGAATGCACCCGTCCGCCGGTTCCGACAATTCTATGCAGTTGGCCGGAATCTCAGGGCACGGAATAAAATGGCAGCTGATCCGTCCACCTCCTTGTGGACAGGAGCATTCAGTACTCCCAAAGTCCACGAAGTACGACTCACCTTCTTTAACCTTGCCATTTCTGAAGCCAGCGCTGATGCAGTCATAATACTGGTACCCTTCGCACATGCAGCCCGTTTGCACGCAGGAAGCGCAACATGCTCCGCTGTCCAAGACTTCTTCGATGCAGTTGTGCAATTCAGGGCAATCCACACCAGTGCAATCCCTTTGACAAAGGCCGCCGCTTATACTCAATAAAAACACCAAGTTCAAGAGGCCACGGGCCATTTTGACTTTGTACCTGGTGTGTCAACAGCTGATAAATGTCTGCAGTCCAGTACACGCCAATCTCTCCAGAGCCCAAACAGTCAGCTCTCCTCTTGTGAACTGTAAGCTGTCAGAGAAACCTTGAACAAAGAGGGAGAGAGAGAGAGATGCAAGTTAGAGAACACTCTGAAAATTTCCTGTGGAGTTCTTCCAGCCAGTCAGTATGTAAAAGCCAACATCTGGCTTCACAGTTGAGCTCACCCTTCTAAGACCATCCCACATTTTAAAATCACAGGGTTGTCCAAGCCTGATCTCATGATTTCCCCTTAATGAAGCACCAGCATTCAAACTCATTACCAATACGGGGCGCCACTGAACGGCGTATTCAGTGGCATTAGATTTTGTAATACCAGTATTCCATTTGATGGGATCTTAAAAGCTACACCACACCATACGATTTCTCTATTATTTTTGATTGCTTTTTCTGATTTGTTTGACATTTATGGGACAACAGTGATTTGCTTTAGTTAGTGCAGGTCTATAATGAAGGAAGTCATACTGAACTCTCATTTGCAAATGGCAAAGCCAACTAAAAGACCTCAATTTGAGGCATTCAGTGCAGACACAAAGCCATTTTTGATGAGGTGTTCTGGAGGTTAAACATTTAGAGGGGATTTAAAATAATTCAGCAAAGCTGTGTTTTTCTGTAGTAGCGATGACTACAGCAGTACAGGACATGTTTCTAGCATTGTAAGTATTGAATTGCTTTCTATTCACCAGTTGAGAAACACATTCTGTTTACTTTGGAAAACCTTGGAGTCCCGACGCCATGAACGTTTAGATTTCATGGCAGATGAAAGTAACTGCTTTATTTGTTTCCAAAAAGCACAATTAACCTTAATATCTAAAAGTCTGGGCAAAACATTTGTCTCTGCCACATGCCAATATGATTCAAAACAACTGGTCTGGCTAATTATATTACCTGTATATAGACTTAAAGAGACATTTCATTCAACAATTAATTCTGTCCTTATTTACTCATCCTTAGGTTGTTTTCAAATCTGTTTGACTTTCTTTCTTATGCAGACCACAAAAGGTAAAATCTTGAAGAATGTCAATGAATGATTAAAAAAGGCAATTTCACCACAAAGCTCCCCATAACCCAAATTGCACAGTTGGACTTTGAATCTTTGTATTGTATCCTTTAGCCTTCAAAAGTTCTATGTTCTACAGGTAAAAGAAAGTCAGGTTTGGAACAACATGTGGGTGAATAAATGATGACATAGATTTTTGGGTAAACTATACTTTAAATATCAATAAGAAAAATCAAAACAAAAGCTACACATTTAAATTATACATACACTTTAAACATTAAAGTGTCAATGTAAGCATATAAAAATGGAATGGGGCAAATTAAATTGAATTAAAACTTAAAAGACTGCACATGCCTCTTATACAAACGATCAGCTATAACCACAGTTTCTGCCAAAACTCGATGAAAGAGGTAACAAAAGTCGCAACACTGCCATCAAAATAAAATAATTACTTGACAGGAGATTTTGTATGTTTTAAAAACTTTCCATATTAAACTATCATTTTATTTAGTAACAATCACTATCTGGTAGCCTATCGCGGCAAAATCCGTGATTACCCGTTATTATAAAATTTGGTAAGAGAGCTGTCACAAATGCATAAAGACACCTCAAGCGCGCGCTCCAGCAGATGCAGTAGTTCTGATTCAATTCAACTTTTCATTAACAAAAAAGTTTAAAACAATGTGCAGCCAATGTTGTCAATAGTCTAACTTTACAAACCTGCTATTGGAACATAAAACTTTTTGTGGTTATTATTCAGAGCATCGATTGATTTTATTTTATTATAATAGCCCACGCGTGAGGAGCGCTCTTGACGTTGCTAAATAAAAAGGGTTTAAAAAAAAGTTTACCTTGCGGGAATCATGTTGTTCCGTGCGTGCAGGTTAGAAGTTACAGCCAATAACTTGTCTTTTCAAGCCTACACAGTGCAGCTTAGTGTGCGTTGAGAATTTTAAAGGGGAGGGACAAAGTTGGAGAACTCTATACCGTGACTTTATGAAGCAGCCCATTCATAAAGTACAATCTTAGCATAAGAACAATTCCTGGTGTTTGCAATCAAATACTATTTGAAAACATCACAGTATTTAGCTTGAAATCTCATTTATTATTAGTCAAGTATATATGCATATCTTGAGAATTGAATTTTCCTCCTGGACCATGTGATTGCACTGTAAAACTGTATCTTGCATGAGGCTATACTGCCAAAAATATGGACAAACCCGAAATGAAAAATGTAATGTAAAAATTTAACCCAACGGCTGGGTTAGTCCATATTTGACCCAAAGTTGGGTTAAAACAACCCAGCATTTTTTAGAGTGTATACTGCCAAAATGCAAAAAGACAAGCAAGTGTATAAATAAAAAACAAATGATAATATAAACAAAATATAAATTCCTTCATAATTACATTCTTAAGAAATATTAAATTATTGGTAAAGTTTGATATTATATGTCTTTGTCTATATATATATATATATATATATATATATATATATATATATATATATATATATATATATATATATATATATATATATATATCATAAAATTTCATTTTATGTCCAAGTAAAGAGTAGGCATGTGCAATCTTAATTTTACTCTTAAATACAGTAAATCCGGGCTGCAGCTGAAGCTAATCTATATATAAAAGACACATTCAACAATAGGCATGTCTATAAAGCTCAGCTGGGTTTCCCAGTCACTTGTGTGAAAATCCTTACAACAAACAAACCAAACTCAGGAGAGTTCTTAACTACTAGGAGTTGGTTTTGTTTACCTTGTTTTGCACTCAGGTTTCCCCCTCTTCAAAGCCAAGCATACTTTGGGCTTCTGGAAATCAACACCATGACGAGCTGACGTCTACGACACTGTTTTAAAGGACCTAACATGTACCTCTTAGAAGCAAGGGTCATCCTTGTTCAAACAAAGACACTGTGCCTACATCGTCTCTCAAGTTTGTGTCTTCCACCTGATAACTTGATTAAATTTGCATTTAAAACGCATTTAAAACCAGCATTGGGAAACGTTACTTTAAAAAGTATATGCATTATTACAACATTGCAATAACTAATTGCATTACTTTTTTATGGAAACTTTTGTGTTACTTTTCCTCACCTGGGCTGGGATTCCTTGATTTTTAATAGCAAAAGTTCAAATTTAATTCTCTGTTTTACACCATCAAAATCAGGCAGGAAAAAAACTTTTCTAAGGAATCAGAGCACACTGCACAATCCCAAATTTCCAATCTTCAAGTGATATACAAGCTTAATGTCCTGTCTAGTTCAAGACATCCAGAAACAAATAAACAAATAAAAACAATTAAAAATAATAACACATAAACTACAGCATAACATTAGGTCAATAAATTAAACAACTGATCATGATAAATGTCAGGTTTTTTTCAGTTCCATTTTAAAGAATGAACAAATGAATGGGATAGAATTTCACAATGCAATTCCTAAAACCAATCTTGTATAAATTGTTGCAATTTAACATAAGAAGGCTTTATGCACAACTTCCGCATTCTCTGTAAAACAGGTCTCATCGCTTCCGGTACAGGTCTTTTGTATGTGCTTCATGAAATTTTTTGCGGTTTTACTCAAGATAACTTAAAAGGAGCGAGCAAAGATTAGCATAAACAATATCCCTCACATGTGCAGATTGATATTTAAACGTTTTATATTTTTTATTCTTCACAGTAACGTTTAGATATTTAAATGGAATAAAAAGCCAATAACAAAGTGAACTAGTTAGGTTAGCTGATTACCTTAAATATCAATAGATATCGTAGTCAGTTCTTACGGCCGTTAACACTTTCTCTGACAAGCGGATGCGATGAGACCCGTTTTCCGGTTTGGTCACGTGATGCTCCGCATAAAGCCTATTGTTTTACTTTTGCACAAAAATTCAGGTTTGAAGGGGTACTTGGCTTTAGTGATGGAGTTGGGGAGGGGATGTGGGATGTACACAAGACATAAGAAGTCTGGGAAACAAAAAAAACAAAAAAAATAATTCCACTGTTCAGGGCCAAGCAAAGCATTTTCTTCAATGTTTTACTCAAACAGCAGCCACGTCCTATCTGCAGGGTCTCATAAATGTGTCACTTGGTAGGAATTTCAGCGGTGCAGTTTTTGTCTTTTAATGTGTCTAAATGATGTTGCTCAGGCATTGACCTGATCAGGATTCTGACCCAGGGCTCAAATGAGGCCCCTCTAATGACCAGGCTTTAGGAGAGCAGTGCAGGCTGTCTGCTGCAAGACAAATGAGTTTTTACTCTGATCCTTGTAATTGATACTTCTCTTTCCAGGACTAGACACTTCTAGCAGGCGGATGAGACAGTGAGATTAGCATGCTTTCAAATGCATTTAGATGCTCTGTTTTGATTTGCTCAACTGGAGCAAAAAAGGTCCACCGTTAAATGCGCATTAACGCAGGATTAATTCTTGAAGCAAATGTGCCAGAATCCAAAGCACTAATGAACATCAACAAAGTCAATGTGTGCCAGTTAATTCGAGGCATTCAGTGCAATGACATTTATCAAAAATTGTGTGAGTTTGTCTTGCTGTCGCATAATTCTGAACTCTTTTGATAATGGTTAAAAGAAGGAAAGAGACAGAACTGACTTGCTTACAGGAGTAGTTTGTTTTGTTCGTTTGATCTCAAGAATAAATTGAGTAGACACACATTCAACAAGAAGAGATGGCATGACCCTGGGGTGTGACCCTGCAGGATATATATATATATATATATATATATATATATATATATATATATACTGTATATATATATATATATATATACTGTACATACACACACACGCACACACACACAATATATACCATACTTGTTTTGCTGGAAAATGGAAAGCTTCTGTAAATCTGAGTCACATGGCACTTTCATTAGAAGTTGGACCATATGAGATGAATGTGAATCATGCGGTCCCCTTGACTTTTAGGTTGATTTAAAAAAAGAAAAGAAAAAAAAAACACCTTTCAGCACAGTTTACAACTATTCAGAATATGGTGGGCCATTCCAATGTGTATTATGTGTGCATAAAAGCCAATTGTTCAGCATTGGAGACATCTGGGACTGCTATTAGGGCTGCTGTAAACTATACCTTAATATAATATACTGTAATATACCTTAACTATATCCTTAATTCTTCCTGCGCGCTTTTCAAGTTTAACAAGGACCGTTCCGTCCCTGCTGAATCATCAGTGGCTAAATAAAAGGTAATTTTACCTCGGTTTGTTGTCTGTCCATTTTAAATGTGATGCAATAAAAGTCTGTTTCCTTACTAACATTAAGAAACATTATTTCTATTGAGTAGGCCCCCTCGCGGCCTGAGCGAGAAAACAAGAATACAACGCCACTGGAGTCCGATACAATAACTTTACTTTTATGGCCAGCGTTAAAACGTAGGCTACTAGATAATGTAGGCTATCTGATTCACGAACAAATTACCGTTTTGAGTCATTTAGTCACTCTGCAATTTTTATTGAAAATATTAATATTTTTTTATTATTAATGCTTTTGGGGACGAGTTATATGTCACGAAATAAGTAGTCTACAAATAAAATAACTAACAGCCAAGATGAGTCTGTGGTTTGACCAAGATTGAATCTGTGTGAACACTGAACTGAATCCATCAGAGCAGTAAGCCTACTGAATCAACTTCGGACTTACGCAAGTTATCATTATTTTCAGTGACGTCAGCATCGAAATGAAGCTAATTTTGCCAGTATCAACACTGACTTAGTTAAAAAAAGGAAGAAAATTCATATAGCCTAGTGAGTAGTTGATGGGCCGCAAACACAATTAATCATAGGCCCACCAGCCAGTTCTGCAAGTAATTGAGAACAAACAAAATGTTTCTAGTTTGCATTTTTGCAAAGCTTGCACTGGAAATATGAATTAGCCTTGTCTTAGTATTTGCAAGGTCCCATTTTGCTTCAATGAAAAGCCATATAGGCTACTCAAGCTGCATAATAAACATTAAAATAATAATAATAAAACTTTTTCGTTATATCTAGGTTAAATCCCAGATTTTTAATATAGACTTTTGGATCCAACTGCATATCCAATAAAATATAAATATTATAAGGGAGACAATCAATGAATAAAGGTGACCTTGATTAATTCTTCGTTTATAATTTCTGTTTTCAGTGCAGAGAGATGAAATATTGTACACGTATTATAATTGTTAAGTTTTATGTTGTTGCCGCCCTAAACAATCTGATCTCTCATTAATCCCTTTATCTCTTTCTAATGAAAACCTGCAGGAAAAACTCAGTGTCACCCAAAGGTCCCATATATGGGACCACCCAGCGGTGAACATGTTGGTGTGGCCTATAGTAAGTGGGATACCTTTGTGATACATTGGTGTTAAAGGGCTTGTAAATTGTGGGAAAAAATGAGAAAGCCCAGAGAGAAATAGAAAGGGGGAGAGAAAGGAAGTGGGTGTAGCAGGAGGTTCTGGAATCTTCATCAGCGCCATGCATACTCCATCTGTCCCGAACACTGTGTTTTGGAGTACTTCTCTTAGCAATGTGACACGTAACCACAGCCCTGACAAAAGCAACCCAATGTACAGCAACAGCAGGGGTGATGGGTAAAAATAACATGAAAACATATCCTGTGTTTGAAGCACACACATTGACAGGAACCGCTCAGACAAGCATAACATTTTTCCACTCAGTTGATGCACACACTTCGCCGATTATGACTATGGAAGATATTAGGGTCTGACATCCGGTAAAACCGCACAAACGTGGAAAGTTTGGTAACTTATCCCATTTCATGAAATATTTCAACACAAATTCGATATACTGCAACTCTGCAAGTGCATAACGCAATCTCATTTAACGTGGGAAAATAGTGAATTCCTTGCATGAAGCTTCAATGATTCATGTACATGTAATGCTAAATAAATGTAAGC